TACATACACCTCTGAACTCTCTGGAACATGCGATTTTGAATAAATCTCTCAGATCTTTCTCTGTACCTTCTTACACGATTAGCCCATGCGTAAACTTTTTGTTTCCAGAAGTCTATGCGTTCCATGGCTCTTGCCATATACTCACTGGACCTGATACCAGATCCAGCAAACGCCTGAGTCACAAAACGCATGACCCTTGGACGGTTATTACCAGCTCGAAAACAGAGAAGTTTCGCTATGAATCTTCTAGCTACATTTATGCGCCGTTCAATCCTGCACTGCCATACGGGGCGAGGTTTTCCACGCCGAGAGCCTGAAGTGGGATTTATTATCCTAACTCCAGCCACGCGGCATGCAGTCAGTGCCCCACAATAGATGATTGAGTGGGTATCGCCTAAATCTAGACTAGAATCTACATACTGAGCTAACAAGCGGTCTACAGCATTTACGATGCATATATTCCGCTTGTTAACAGGTAATCGCGGTAAGGGAGGGCGGTCATTGTTTGATAAGGATCTATAATTCAAAATCACATCCTCCAAAGTGCCCCACAAACGCTCAATATTCTGATCACTAACACATACCTCTTCAATTGGTAGTTCCGTTAGCACATCAGCGGCCACAGGGGCCATTATTATTATTATATTTTTTTTCCTCGAACGTGGGAGTGTAAAAATGAGTAATTTCAAAGCATTCATTGAGGTTTTAATCCACTGTAACACTTATCCCAGATTTGTTTTCTGAATTCTTTAAAATATAAAATAATCATTTTACCGATACTAGATGAAAAATCTTCAAAAATTTCTAAGTTTTTCTATTTCAAATACCTACTAAGTTTTTGACGAGTGGCGTATGAGTTTGCTGTCATAGTATATGATTATGCGATCCTTTGGCTCAAAATTAAGAAAGTTGTTATTTTTAGTGAAAAAAGTCCTATCATGTATCTCTCCAGAAACTGGGCTTCAATTTGTGCCACCATCGAAAATACCCACGATCGTTTTATTTTTTTTTCTTAAAGTGAAAAAAACTTCGACAACTTTGACTGAACTTATAAGTCCCTGTAAACAATTTTTTGTTTGGCGTCAGCATCATTGGCTTAATTAGAAGATTCGGTATATACAGTAATGATAGGAGAGTAAAAATCTTTTTTTCCTTGTAACATATCGACAAACGTAAAATAATACATTCAAATCTTCAATGAATTATATACATTGACAATAACAAGTAGAACTCTCAAAGTACATGCACATCGATACTGACAATTTTGCAATATTGATCCACACGTATCAGATTTTTCCAATATTAATTTATGAGTTAACATGTTGTCATATGGAAGAAATGTTAAATGAAATAAGAGCTTTATCGTAATGATTTGTAGTTTTTTATTACAGAAATATTCAAATAGTCATAGTTAGTTTTTAGTACATGTAAGCCCCGTTGTATGCGCCGTTGCAGCCGCAGCCGCCGGCGCAATTTCCTGCAATGGAGACGACACCACCAGCTGGCACATCACCACCGAATCTGACAGCACCCAAAATCGGTACCTGTCCAGCGACAACGGTTGTACCGGCGACACCCATCTCGCCAGCGACAGCAATGTCGCCAACGCCGATGCCTCCGTAAGCCGGGCCAGCGATGGCAGCGGGGCCAGCGATGGCGGCTGGGCCAGCAAGTCCGTAGCCAAGTCCAAGACCAGCTCCGTAGCCGAGTCCAAGTCCGGGTCCGTAACCGAATTCGGTGGCTAATCCAGGTCCATAGCCGAGGCCGCATTCACCAGCCCAACCACCTGCGTAGCCCAGACCGAGGCCGGCGCCTAGGCACTCGCTGTATACATTCTGTGAATTTACAAATTGTTTTAAAACTCCTTCAGTAATTTTTTGGGTGCACATACATGAAATTATGCTTTTATGTCGAACAAGAAATTTTAATTATTGTTGTAAGTTTTGATTTTTAATGAGGAATTCAATTTCTCCCTTACCTGGATCAAGCAAGCTTGAATGCAGAGGAGCAAGAAGGCGAAGGGAGACATGTTGAAGATTTGTTTTTCGAGTGAATGATTCGTCAATATTGAAAGTGTCTTTTATATGCTAAGCATTCTCTTACTCATTAAAACAATTTCGACATATAAGAGAAAACGTGAGGCAGTAATCCAATGTGTAACAAGACTTTTTACACATTAATACCTATTATGTGTTTTATCGCATAAGGGCGTTGAAAATGGACATGAACATTCAACATAAGCATTACAAGGGTTTGCATAATGTTTATCATTTCAATAGTTGTACTTCCAACTACAGCACTATAAATACCATACGATGTCATTGATGTTCACACTTGTTTCTCACAAGCACAATCAACATGTCTGCCAAAACTATCGTTCTTTTCTGCGCCCAAGCTCTCTTGGTCCAGGTGAGTGAACCAGAAAAATTAAATAAAAATGTATATTTTAAAAAAAGTTTTGGTGGTAACAAAACAAAATATAATTAATGTACTATAATTTTTATAGACTATCTCCGCCTTCTGCACCGGTGGTCTGGGTTACGAAGCTCCTTTGATGGCGGCAGCTCCCTTCGGCGCCGCAAACTGGGCTGGTTACGGAGCCGGATGCGGATGCGGTTTGGCCGCCGTCCCAACATCCAGCGGTGGTGGATTCCCCACCTCCAGCGCTTCCCCCATCCCACCTGTCGGATTGTCTGTTCTGTCTGAGAACGAGATCGGAGGCATCTTAGCCGTCGGCGGTGAGCTTCCTTTCCTGGGTACCGTCGGTCTGGAGGGTGCTCTGCCTACCGCTGGAGTTGGTGCCGTCTCCTACGGCTGCGGCAACGGTGCTGTGGGCATGGTAAGCGAAGACATCGCTGCTCCCGCTTGGGGCTACCCCGCTGCCGCTGGTTTGGGTTACGGACCCGCTCTCGCTGCCGGAATCGGCTACGGTCCCGCTATTGCTGGACGTGCCTTCGGTGGATGTGGTTGCGGAATCTACTAAGAAAAATCTGATTTACAATGTCATCTGAAAATAAAAGCTTTTTAATCCGAAGTATCTTTTTAATTGAAAAAAATTGAATGTTACGAAAATATTGTATAGGTGTATAATAATAAGGAAGTAATTTGGTATTTAATTATTTGTAATTAATTGTAATAATTGATTGAAGTCTTGTCATGGTAATCGAATTTCACTGGAGAAAATTCATTTGATACTATTCTATACATACTAACTGCCGCTCGTGTCTCCCTTCACGTGATATTAATAACATCTTAGTAGACTATGTGCTATTAGTGGTTGTTAAAAAATATCCTTTCATCCTGATTCATTCAGTCATTATGTAGTTACGAGAAAACAAACATCTATCTTGTTGTATAACGCGCATTGAAGGTATCGAACCTCCTTGGTAGCACGGGAGTGTTTGTTACCGACCAAGGTAGTACTGGCCGGTAATGCGACGCCGCGAATAATATGAAAATAGTGAAAAAAGTAGAAGAATTGAAGAACGAAAAAATGTGATTGTAAAAATTAGTTTTGTTTCATAGTTTAATTTTGTTTACATTATAGTTTGCGATATTGTATATAAATACTAACTATAGTACAATTGTCTTGCTATGATAAATGATGAATGTATTATAGTTATGATTAAATAGTATTGAAAAATAGAAAGTGTTATTGATTCACACAACTGTTCAACCCTCTGCAGCGGAATCGTTCAGAGGTCGTTGTACAGTTATTACATCATTAGTAAGAAGTAAGGCAAGATATAACCTCTGTAGTACTCTCCATAGATGTTTTTAATATTGCCTTTGTATATCTTTGTCTCGGTTTGATAGAAAATAAAGATAATCTTTTATTACATATACTATTAAATAGTATCTCTTATCAATAGTATTTGTCTTAAATATCCTTTTTTCGGACAAAGGTTGAGCGTGGCCATCCAACGGGGAAATGCCGCCATCCTCTTGGGAACCCAACCGTGCGAGCGCAGCGATTTGAAGTCGATTTTTTATATTATTTAGTTTTATTTTTAGTTTGGTTTAGTTTTATTATATAGTTTATTTAATATAGTATTAATTAATTCATTTATTTTGTAGTGGTTAGTTATTTAGTAAGATTATATATCTTATTTAGTTTCGCTTGTCCCGATGTTTTAACCGAATCCAAAACCGAACCGAATATTATAGAAATTTTGTATCCATTGGAAAAAAAATAAATTGCGTGATAATGCAATGTTATGGAGCTGATTTGATGATGGAACTGGGAGGTGAGTACAGGAACTTCGCACTGAAACGATACAACCTATTTTAGGCTTGTTTGAATCCTTTTGTCTAATAATTTGTCTTTTGTAAATTTTTTAATTACCAAGAACATAGCAAAAGCTTTTTAAAACGTTTTTTTTTCTTCTAATCTTATATTAAAAACACTTCTTTTACAACATTTAAGTTATTTCCATTTTAATCCACTACTAAAAATAACATACCACTATGCTTCTTAGTCATGATACTTTGTGGCGGTTAGATTAGTTTTCTTTCCAAGTCTCTTTTACTTATGAAGAATACAATACTATCATTGAAAACGTTAATTAAGAACATCGCTTATTAGCAAGCGGGTCAAAAGATCGAATACTGATATTATTCTCAAAGTGTTCACAAATCTTGTTGACAAACCACAGTTTTCTAACAACGCTAATTTTTGAGAATGTAGCAGCTTTCAGGATATATGTAAGTCCGATGCATTATGTTTTGAATTACTTACGATATGTATATTAAGAATTACCCAGTCGAAAAACATGTTGACAAATTACTTTATTTAAAGTGTAAACAATTTCTGGGATAGGGGAAGATAACAGTTGAAATTTTGCAATGTTAAAAATGGTATTCAATTTTCCATTATTATGTACTTAGATTCTTTGTGATATGATTTAGGTGAACAATAAATGAAATAATTGAAAGAAGAACTTGATTGTAATGGTTCGTCGCTTTTATTTCACATAGATTCAAATAGTCACAATTTGTTTTTAGTACAGGTAACCGCCGTTGTAAGCGCCGTTGCAGCCGCATCCACCAGCGCAGTTGCCGGCGATGGAGACGACACCGCCAGCTGGCACCTCACCTCCGAATCTGACGGCACCCAAGATTGGCACCTGTCCAGCGACGAGGGTGGTACCGGCAACTCCCATCTCGCCAGCGACGGCAATGTCACCGACACCGGTGCCTCCGTAAGCTGGTCCAGCGATGGCAGCGGGGCCAGCAAGTCCGTAGCCAAGTCCAAGACCGGTTTCGTAGCCAAGACCAAGACCAAGTCCGGGTCCGTATCCGAATTCGGTAGCTAAGCCATAGCCGCGGCCGCATTCACCAGCCCATCCGTCAGCGAAGCCCAGACCGAGTCCGGCTCCAAGGCATGCGCTGTACGCATTCTAAAAAGTTTTAAATTAATTAAAAATAATTTAACACTTCCTCTAAAATCAATAAAAATATTGCAATTTTACAAAGCATATTTACCTGGATCAAGCAAGCTTGGATGCAGAGCAACAAGAAGGCGAAAGGAGACATGTTGAATGTTTTCCGACTGTGTGATCGAGAATGATTCTGTAGTAGGAAGCAAGCTATTTATATATTTACCTTTATCCGGCGGACAAAACAATTTCGTAATAAAAATATAGACATGTACTTGACTTTTAAATGCTAGTTTGACAAAAACGAGCTTATGTTATAAAATAGAAAAAGTTTAATAGAAAATGTTAATATCGCGCCATCAGTTAAAGTTTGACTTTAAAATAGATTTAAGGCAAAACGTAGCCATTGTAAAGTTTAGCTTGGTTTGATTAATAATATTATTTTTTATGATAGTAAGAAGTTTTTGACACTTGCGAGTAAACACAAAGACCTATTAAATTTCTTAATTTTGTTATCAAACACAAAAACAACACGTCTCTCACAGATTTATATAATTTCAAAAGAAAACATCAACACAATGTGCTTGTAAAAAATGTTTCTTAATTATTTTTTTTATTAAAAGTCACGTTTTGTATGTTAATGTCTTAAATAATTTCTCAACTAAATTTTTGTACTAAGTAGGTGCACATTTTTTCATATAAATATACCCTAACTTTATGTTAACCTCAGTACAGTATCATACATCCATCAACATGTCAGCTAAGACCGTCCTTCTCTTCTGCGTTCAGGCCTTTTTGGCTCACGTAAGTTACCTTCATAACATCGTGCTTAAAGCTTGCCTTTTAGCCGAAAATCGGCATCTGATATTCGCTTTTTAATGACCTATTAGTAAGATCTATTGCAGTAAACATGTAAATCTTGTGTGTTTTATGGTTCTGGAAAAATGTCATAATGAAAAACATTTTAAATTTTACAGTCCATCTCTGCATACTGCGGCGCTGGCTTGGGTTACGAAGCCCCTTTGATGGCTGCAGCTCCCTTCGGCGCCGCAAACTGGGCTGGTTACGGAGCCGGATGCGGATGCGGTCTGGCCGCCGTCCCAACATCAAGCGGCGGCGGATTCCCCACCTCCAGCGCTTCCCCTATCCCACCTGTCGGTTTGTCTGTTCTGTCTGAGAACGAAATCGGAGGTATCTTAGCTGTCGGTGGTGAGCTTCCTTTCCTGGGTACCGTCGGTCTGGAGGGTGCTCTGCCTACCGCTGGTGCTGGTGCCGTCTCCTACGGCTGCGGCAACGGTGCCGTGGGCATGGTGAGCGAAGACATCGCTGGTCCCGCTTGGGGCTACCCCGCTGCCGCTGGTTTGGGCTACGGACCCGGTCTCGCTGCTGGAATCGGCTACGGTCCCGCTATCGCTGGACGTGCCTTCGGTGGATGTGGTTGCGGAATCTACTGAGAAATGTTCATAAACAACGTCGTCTGAAAATATACAATTTTGAACTCAAAACATTTCTTTTTATGTTTCTTTAAAATGTAAACATAGACAATTTTTCATACCCCTCAGCGTTACGGATCTGAGGGATGCTTTTAATAAGTGTACACCCTATTCAAAGTCGATTAATAACGGGGAATCGTTCCAAAAAAGTAGTGTTTCTAATTATCTCTATGTTCCGTGGAGAACTTAAATGATTTCAATAGCACCGTCCTTTATTTAAAGACAGTTTCATTATTCACGATGTCATGAAAGTTTGTGGTTGTGACACAAATAAAACCAACAACTTTTGTATACTTATTTATAGTTGAAGTTAAAGAATCTTCCTTCTGATTCTTTCTTCAATTTATAATATTTTTTTACAAAGCTAAAATTAAAATGTTTTGTCAGTGGATACATACTGTAAGCTTGGGCAAGCAGTTAACTTGACAGTATAAGTATGATTCGTTAGTATACTTAGTTCGTATGAATAGGTAGTGTTGTTAGACAAGGAAAAATAATAAATTCAATTAAGTATAAAAGTAACTCGCATTAAGTAATGATGTTTATTTTAATGGCACTTAAAATAATTTCAACGTTATCATCATCAGAAAGTCGATCACTTTTATTCGGAAAATTCTTTTGGTCTTAGGTAATTTCATCACAAATTTGTTAAAAGGAATACGATTTACGTAACTTTAAAGAATTCTAGATGAAATATAAAGCTCCAGATAAAACAGTGTCGATGGCTAAAAGCTGTGTTTGACTATGAACTTTCCAGTTCAGTAAAATATCAAATCTTTATATGTCATCTTTATTGAATCACAACAAGAGGATAGACTAAGACTAAATTGAACTTTCCAAACAGCTGTATTATATTTTTATTAAATACTCGTGATCTTCATACAAGAACTAGTGTTATAATTACTAATAAATTATTTTTAAAACAGGTAACAATGTAATTTTAAAAATTTATTGCTGAAATAAACATTTGAAAAATCTTTGTTTTTAGCACCAGTTGATCATCTGTTGTATTTTTTTCTTTTAATTTATTCTATCGAAATCTATATATGTAAAAGAAAGCCGTGTTAGTTACACTATTTAGAACTCAAGAACGGCTTTACCGATATGGCTAAAAATTGGCGACGAAGCTTAGAGCTAGAGGACGGATATTTTTTTTGAATTTATGTCTTGAAGAGCTGCTTTTTATTTAACTAACTAATATTATAAATGCGAATGTTTTGATGGATGTGATGTGGATGGATGGAAGGGTGTTTGAGGATATTTCTAGAACGGCTGAACAGATCTCGTTAAAATTTTGCATAAGTATAAGAACATAGTCTGAAACACACATAGGCTACACTAATTAAGTTTTTTTTATATATACTCGCGGACGGAGTCGCAGGCGATCGCTAGTATGTAATGAAAAAATATTGAAAATAATTCTTTGTCAGTTTTGCTGTGTAACCATCACGTTCAACTAACGTAATACTATTTTTTTTATATAGTGTTGTCTTTGTATTTCTAAATGAAATAGAAGAGATGACTATATGATGTTATACGATCAGTTTTAAGGTGGAAAACCACAGAAAGAATGTAGTCAAACTTAAGCCTGCGTAAGCAATCTTTCGGGGCATGGCTTTAATGAAAGTGTTACTTTTTATGAAGAAACATACTACATAAAAAGCATCCAACTATTCCAAAATAAATGTGTGTGCCCATACATTTTGGTCATATTTTAAATAGGTATGTGAAAAAAAAATATAGCTTTATCGTAATGATTTGATGCTTTTATTTTAGAATTATTCAAATAGTCATAGCTTGTTTTCAGTACAGGTAAGCACCATTGTAAGCGCCGTTGCAGCCGCAGCCTCCAGCGCAGTTTCCTGCAATGGAGACGACGCCACCAGCTGGTACATCACCACCGAATCTGACAGCGCCCAAAATTGGCACCTGTCCAGCAACGACGGTGGTACCGGCGACGCCCATCTCGCCAGCGACGGCAATGTCGCCGACACCGGTGCCTCCGTAAGCTGGGCCAGCGATGGCAGCGGGGCCAGCGATGGCGGCAGGGCCAGCGAGTCCGTAGCCAAGTCCAAGACCGGCTCCATAGCCGAGTCCAAGTCCGGGTCCGTATCCGAATTCGGTGGCTAATCCAGGTCCATAGCCGAGTCCGTATTCACCAGCCCAACCACCTGCGTAGCCCAGACCGAGGCCGGCTCCGAGACACTCGCTGTATACATTCTGTAAATTTACAAATTATGTTAAAACTAGTTTAGTGATTTATTTCTGTGTCATCATCAGCTCACTATACGTCCCCACCGAAGGGCTCGGAGCCTACGCTAAGTTAGGGGTGATTAGGCCATAGTCAACCACGCTGGCCAAGTGCGGGTTGGTTGACTATTTCTGTGTACATACATCAAATTATCCATCTATGGCGAACAGGACATTTTTACATTTTACTGTCAATTTAAATTTCTAACTTACCTGGATCAAGCAAGCTTGAATGCAGAGGAGCAAGAAGGCGAAGGGAGACATGTTGCAGATTTGTGTTTGAACTGAATGATTTATGAATAGTATCAGTGTCTTTTATATGTTAACTATTCTCTTACTAATTAACACAATTTCGACATACACCAGAAAACGTGAGGCAGTAATCTATTTTGTCACAATTTTGTCAGCGAAATATATTTTTCAATAGAACAAGACTTACATTAATGCCTATTTTGTGTTTTATCGCGTAAACGCAATGAACACGTACACAAGAATAAACAAAAAAGCAAAATAGTTGTGTTTACACATAGCTTTCAGTACTATAAATACCAGACGATCTCATTGGTACTTACACTTGTTTCTCACAAGCACAATCAACATGTCTGCCAAAACTATCGTTCTTTTCTGCGCCCAAGCTCTCTTGGTCCAGGTGAGTGAAGAAAAATAATTGAATTAAACCATGTTTTGGTGTAACAAATTAAAATCTAATTTATGTACTTTCTAATTTAGACTATCTCCGCATACTGCGGCGCTGGTTTGGGTTACGAAGCTCCTTTGTTGGCCGCTGCTCCGTTCGGTGCCGCTCCCTGGGCTGGTTATGGAGCTGGATGCGGATGCGGTCTAGCCGCCGTCCCAACATCCAGCGGTGGTGGATTCCCCACCTCCAGCGCTTCCCCCATCCCTCCCGTCGGTTTGTCCGTTCTGTCTGAGAACGAGATCGGAGGTATCTTAGCCGTCGGTGGTGAGCTTCCTTTCCTGGGTACCGTCGGTCTGGAGGGTGCTCTGCCTACCGCTGGTGCTGGTGCCGTGTCCTACGGCTGCGGCAACGGTGCCGTGGGCATGGTGAGCGAAGACATCGCTGGTCCCGCATGGGGCTACCCCGCTGCCGCTGGTTTGGGCTACGGACCTGGTCTCGCTGCCGGAATCGGCTACGGTCCTGCTATCGCTGGACGTGCCCTCGGTGGATGTGGTTGCGGAATCTACTAAGAAATGTTTTATTTACGACGTCATCTGAAAATATACAATTTTGAATGCAACATATTTTTTTCTTTACAATGAAAGACTATTGATGGATTTTTTTTATTTAATACGAAAGTAATTCATTTACAATTATTTATGCAATTTTTTATTTATTAATTTACATTTATATTTTACGAAATGTACCTATATCGTAATACCTAAAGAATAACAAGTTTACTACAGATATAAAAAAACTCTGCCCTTCAGGTTTACTACCGCTCAGATTATGTTTATTAGTTACTTACTTACTTACTCCGTGGCACATCGACCCAAAGTGGGTCTTGGCCTCCGACACAAGAGATCGCCAAAGTCGCCTGTCTTGCGCCTTCTCCTGCCAGTCCATCGCTTGTAGCTCCCGCAGATCCAGCTTTACGGCGTCTCGCCAGCGGTACCTGGGCCGACCGATGGGTCGGCGGCCAGTCGGGGTCCCGAGGTATATGTGTCCCAACTAATAAACATCGTAAACATCATGTTACGATGTTTATCAGTTGGGAATTATAAAATTGGTACTTATAAATTTCGTACAACTATTATATTTCTGAGAGTCGGACGGCTATTTAATAAAAAATAGCGTTTATTTACAAAATGAAAAACTTAAAAAAAATCTGTTTTATTTACGGTAACCCCATTGTTTTTCGGTGGGAAAATGGCTATAAATATTTTTTTTGGTCGTTATAAGTATATTATAATAAAACCAATTCCAAGTCAGTTATTGGTTGCAGACACAGCATCTGTAGACTTGTGCATTGTCCTTTGTTTTACTACTGAATTATTAGCGAAACTATCACTTGACTTAACAGTTTAGAAGTATGCATTTAAATTCGATAATTACAAATATTATGTTTACACATATTATGTTACCTTCATAACAAATCCACAAACATGAAACCAACGTTGTATGTAAAATGTTTAATATCTTATATATAAAATTCTCGTGTCACAATTTTCGTTCCCATACTCCTCCGAAACGGCTTGACCGATTCTCATGAAATTTTGTGAGCATATTGAGTAGGTCTAAGAATCGGCCAACATCTATTTTTAAACACGCGCGGACGGAGCCGCGGGCGAAGCTAGTCTTTCTTATATATAAAATTCTCGTGTCACAATTTTCGTTCCCATACTCCTCCGAAACGGCTTGACCGATTCTCATGAAATTTTGTGAGCATATTGAGTAGGTCTGAGAATCGGCCAACATCTATTTTTCATCCCCTTATATGTTAAGGGTAGTCCACCCCTAAATTTTATTTTTTAGACAAACACGCGGACGGAGTCGCGAGCGACAGCTAGTATATCATTAAAATTAACTACAACAAACAAAACTCTTCAAATCGCAGTGTCACAGTTGTTTTAATTATTAATACTAAATAATCAACTTGAAAAACTAGTCAGGAAATAACTATCCGTGTGTAAGTTCAAATATATTAGGAAACCATTTTATCGCCATACAATTAATTTAAAAAGATACCTTAACTTGCAAAGTTTGGTACCTATGCTGTCGCCCTCATTTTCAGAGTACCCAAAATTCATAGGCATTATAATAATAAATGGATACGATTGTTTAAATGAATTAATAATGTAAACAAAATATGTTATCGGCTATGTGACACACTTAGGGTCCCCACAAGTATAGTGACAATACCTCTCTCGTAGATGACCATATTACGATTAATTACGTTTATTATTATTAATAGTCCAGTTTAACGAGTAAAATATAGTTTAAAATCAAAGTATTAAATTAATATTAAAGTCAGACATAACTCATTAAAATAATTTCATTTTTCTGTGTAAGATTGTAGTTCAACCTAAATTCACCGCCCCCCCCATTTTTCAATGTTAATTTATATTTGATATTTTTGTTTTAGTTGTGAAATCAATAAGTGCAAATAAAAAAACAGCTTTATCGTAATGTTTACTCGCATTTATTACAGACAAATCTAAATCTTCATAGCTTGTTTTCAGTACAGGTAAGCGCCGTTGTAAGCACCGTTGCAGCCGCAGCCGCCGGCGCAATTTCCTGCAATGGAGACGACACCACCAGCTGGCACATCACCACCGAATCTGACGGCACCCAAAATCGGTACCTGTCCAGCGACGACGGTGGTACCGGCGACGCCCATCTCACCAGCGACGGCAATATCGCCGACGCCGATGCCTCCGTAAGCTGGGCCAGCGATGGCAGCGGGGCCAGCGATGGCGGCAGGGCCAGCGAGTCCGTAGCCAAGTCCAAGACCGGCACCGTAGCCGAGTCCAAGTCCGGGTCCGTATCCGAATTCGGTGGCTAAACCGGGTCCATAGCCGAGTCCGTATTCACCAGCCCAACCACCTGCGTAGCCCAGACCGAGGCCGGCTCCGAGGCACTCGCTGTATACATTCTATGGAATTACAAAATGTTTTATAACACTATCGTCAAAATATTCATAAACGATTAACACGAATTTAAAAAAAAATATGAAATAAAATATTAATAATTTTAATTTAAATTTCTGACTTACCTGGATCAAGCAAGCTTGAATGCAGAGGAGCAAGAAGGCGAAGGGAGACATGTTGCAGATTTGTTTTTCGACTGAATGATTCGTCAATATAAAAATGTCTTTTTATATGCTTACCATTCTCTTAGTCATTAAAACATTTCGACATACATCAGAAAACGTGAGACCGTGCTCCATTGTCGGTGTCATAATTTTACCTAAATAATTAGATCAAAATATATATAATATTCCTAATACATTTATGCCTATTTTGTTAGGGGTTTGCATAACATTCATAATTTCAATAGATGTGCTTACACATAACTCTTTTAACATATAAATACCAAACGATTTCATTGATGTTTACACTTGTTTCTCACAAGCACAATAAACATGTCTGCCAAAACTATCGTCCTTTTCTGCGCCCAAGCTCTCTTGGTCCAGGTGAGTGAAACAAACAAAATAATAGAATTATACGATGTTTTGGTGAAACAAAATAAAATCTTATTTATGTAATCCCATTGATTTAGACTATCTCTGCATACTGCGGCGCTGGTTTGGGTTACGAAACTCCTTTGATGGCCGCAGCTCCCTTCGGCGCCGCTCCCTGGGCTGGTTATGGAGCCGGATGCGGATGCGGTCTGGCCGCCGTCCCAACATCCA